GGGGGGGGGGGGGGGGGGGGGGGGGGGGGGGGGAAAACATGCAACTGTAAGAAACAAGGAATGCAAATATTTATGCATTATTTTTGTATGTGGGTCTGCGTTTCCACTGATGTTTATTTGTGTATTTTTTCAGGTTTTTGATTTTCCTTTTTGGGGGGAGGGGGCAAACTGGAGAACTGAGGTGTCTCCGGCTGTACATGTGCAGAAAACTGCAAAGGGATTGTCGTTATTGGTCACAAACAAGCAGTGAACTGGGAGACAGACTGGACACAAAAAGGTTACACTGTCACTTAGCTTGTTTCATGAGCACGACACGCACACCTCATGTACCTTTGCAATTATTTGTTTATTATTATTGTTATATTTTCACATGCAGTGGGAGTAATTCAACAGCATTGTTTAACACAGATATGCTCACTATATATGCAGTTTTATTCTACAGTCCCTATCCGAGTGATTAAAAAACAATGCGAATATGAATGGATGAGTACATGGTACTTAGCTGCAGTAAATTTATTTTCAAGGTCGATCGCTTTGGTTTTTTCAACATAAAAGATATACAGACACATTCGTGAACATTTAATTTTTATCAGATTAAAAGTGTAAATACATCAACACTTTAACATGTTAGTGAAATAATATTGTTGTAAAAAGTAAAAAGATTTCATTGTTCCTGAAAGTTCCCAAGTGTACTGCAAGGGACTGAAGAGTGAGATGTCTACTGAGGTAACCCAGTAGTAAAACCCTGCATGCCGGTTCTTGTACAGTACACTCCACTGTCCTGCAGGGGGCGTCTGTCGAATTTAAAGGATAAACACTGTTTTGTGTTATTCAGATACAGTTCCTCCCAAAAATGGAATTTAATGGAACTTCATCTTCAGTGGAACGGATGGAACGATGGGTGGTACTGCGTATTGTCACTCGTGGGACTCAAACGGAGTTGGGACATCGCAGGTGTCCCCATTTTCCAGCGGGGACCCCTTACCCTTATGGCATGGAGAGCTCCTACAGGGGGCAGCTGGGAAGATGTGTTGAATGAAGGGGACTGGCCTTTGGACATGAACCTTGACTCAACCTCAGCAGAACACACATATAAAAATTGGGGGAGAGGTACACCTCTGTGTCTGTGTTGGCTAACAAGTCTTTGAGCAAATAGCAGGGTCTTCACTGAAGCTCTTTGACAAACCTGATGTTTAACGCTCAACACTACTCATGCAATACCTGCAATGATTGAGTTAGGATCTGCAGCAAAGGTACATTGTTTAGACTGAAGAATATACAGTATAAATATAGAAATATATAGACAAAAAAATGCTTAAAAAATAAATGTGACATATGGTCATCAACTGTTTATTTTACTTTAGTATTTTGGTGAATTTCTTCTTCTGGTGTCTAGTTTTAATGTGTGATGTCTACACTATGTGTTGGGGACAGAGGGGGATTTCAGTTTTATAACCACTGAGAGGCACATGCTCAGGTACTGTGTCACTCCTTTGGGGGCGACCGTATTGATAACAAATATGATGGAGTGCAGGTCTCTGCCTGGAACAGCTCAGCGTTCGGTGCTGTCTTTTGCTATGTGTGTCATTCATCCGAAGACACTCCTGTCCACCGGGTTCATTAACACCGGCTACCTGGGGTTGTTGTAGGAGCAGATAAGACCCTAATTATCCAGTCCTATTCGGGTGCTAGGCAACCACAAAGACGCTCTACTCACACACAGCAAGGTCGTTTGTGAACAAACCATGTATTTGCACAAGTCATGCAAGCTTGTGATTCCTATTCTTATAAAGATTTCAGTTGCATTTGATTATTATTCTCCTTCCGTCGTGTCTCCCCAATGCGTGTCCAGTGAACGCAATTGTCCTTTACACAGATAATGGGAAGCAACCAATATGTATTGTGCTTTAATTACAGTTTAATTACATGATATGAAATGGCTCATTTTCTCCTCAGTCTGAGACTGTGACACTTTATCTTTTTAGAGGGGAATTACAAGTTTTCACATCACTTCACGCTGGAGTGATTTGCACGATGGCTGTGCCTAATTACTGACCGTGCATGTTCTCTGTCTGCCTGTCACTCACTAAGACAAAAAAAAGTAATTTCATAAAGAATTATGTGTTGGTGCTTCGACCTTTGGAAATTCAGAGGATGTTATCCAAAATGTCTGGATTCAAAATACTTTATTTTAGGGGAAAAATGTATGTGCATTTTTATGTCTGTTTAGGGCAGCAGTTTTCAACCGGTGACCAGCATACTGATCGAAAAACACTGCCTTGTCGTGTCAGAACAAAAGGGCTATAAAGACTGGTTTAGAGATTAGCCCAGTGATGTCATTTTACAAATTGTCTTCGGTTATCTATCTGTTCTCCCCAGAGTGCAGATTTTCACTTTATGTTGGACAATTAATCATTTAAACCTAAGTTGAAAAGCCAGTTTTGGCATTCCGAAGCTCGTGAAGCATTGTAAGGAATTAAACACACCCACACTTGGTTAAACCATTTTGACAACAGATGTACAGATCACACATTTATATAATTTAGACATGAGGTTTCCTCTTTTCACTCCCAGTACAAAATCTGTTTGAATATTTACTGACACAACTCGCTTACGCATTTGGTATTGTTGTTCTTACTTGGTGCAGCTCTGTTACATTAATTATATGGTAACAATGAAGTGTAAATGCTGTATTTTTATAACTTTGTATTTGTATTGTAACCCATGACGACTATAGTACAAAATACAGAGGGTGTGCATTGATGTCACTTTCCTGCCAGAACATGCACGCTCAGACGGACTGAGTGGAAAAACATGATACAACATGGTTGATTTTAGTTGGGGAAACAACAAAACAAACGACTATCTGCTTAAATTAAAGGCAGTTGGATTTGATAGGGATCCGTCCAACTTCCCAAAGGACCATTGGACCATGGGCTTTGATACATGACCAGCATTGGGGTTTGCTAACAACATATTTTGTAGAAACTTTTTAAGTTATCTGGCTAACTATCTAAACTTGCTTTGTGCAGCAGCCCCTTATAAGGAAACCTGGGTTAGTCTTGGCTAGTTAACACTATCTACCCATCTCCCGCTTTGTTTCTGCGACACGAGACTCATCATTATGGATGTTTTTTTAATAAATGCTGACAGAAACTCTACAGTTACGCAGAATATACATGCACGATGCTAAATATTTCACTGATAATTAGTCAGGACAGTATATAACTAAAAGTTTGATTTTGAAATGACAATGACAAATCCACATTCCGGGGCTTGGATTCCAGTTGTTTCTGAGGATTGCAGCAATCAATTTGCTTCTCCTTTCTTTACTTTTTGGCAGCCTGTAAAAGGATAGCTCTGATTTCTTATTAAATCAATTTGTACAATCAATTGCACGACAGCTCTTTACCATTTTAGGTGTGTTTTCCGGACACCCAAACTGAACATTAATGCTGACATTCACTGGGTGTGACCGCAGTGACTTCCACCTTCGGTGACATCATGAGCCTACCCTCTATTCAAAGCAAACCTCCAAACATTCACCTAGCCTTCAAAATTAAACAACAGCTTAGATTTTTGGACCTTTTTATCAGGTATTTAAAAAATCTCTCATTTGAGTATTTCAGAATGAACAATAAATAATCCATAATTTCAGTGTCCGGCTGCCCCAGCGTCTTTGTTTACTCATATTTGCCAGCCCAAAATCCAAATGGCTGCCATTTTTTTCGACATCTTGCTGCTGCCTTTGCAGCCCACTACCTTCTGTTCGATTACCATGGAAACAGTCCCCAAGTTGAGAAGATGTAAACAGCCGAGTATGAAGCATTTTTACCAGAGAGACGACTTCACGCTTGCTCTACATGAACCTGTATTGAAGGACTCAAGGGGGGAAAAATGCTT